AATACGGTTGTCGGAGTCCTGATATCTTAATCTGGGGAAATAGAAAATGTCCCTTCCGATGATGATTAAATGTCCCGGTTTAGCTTTGTGTGACCTGTGAGAACATGTGGCACATATAAGTGATTTGCAACTGCTACACAGGGGACCACTGATTGTTATCAGTAATCGATAGATCAGACTTGCTAAAGAACAGAAAACTAGGCTGGAGATAAGCAATGGGGAGCTCTTGGTATTTATGTTTGTCAAAAACTGGGATGCTAATTTGTTTAATTCTTCTCCTTTTTTTCCGCCATTTACCTCAGCGAGGTGTTCGGGGGGAGATGTAAGGATCGTTTGTGCGGTTTTTCAAATGCATTGTACAAGTTGGTGTTAATTTCTGTAAGGCTGCTCCTGCTGACGTCGTTCCATCTCAGCGTGGTATTCCCCTTGCTCTGTGCTCAATACGTTTCGTCTGAGCGGCTCTGTGGCAGTTGGTACCAGGACATTCTCGTCGGGCGGCCAGACCATAAAATCTGTTCTTTAATTAACTTTATGACTGGTTTCAGACCTAGTCTTCTTCTAATTTCTTTATTCCTGATTGAATCTCTTCTTTTGACACCGGCAGCTCTCCTAAAACATCTCATCTCTGTTGTTACGACCCTCCGCTCATTTTAACATTAAATTATGCAAGGATATATTTTGTGTTCCCATTATGGAAATAAATGTAAGAAGAGCATTTGAAGAAAAATTTCTTCGTTTTAATCATGCGTGAAGTTTGATAATTATTTTTTGCGTGTTTGCACAATGCATCAATAAAATAACGTGGCAAACTTTAATACAATGCAATAAGAACGAGGAGGAAAACATATCAGATAATCACAGTGTAGTGATTTTCACGCTCTAATTATAAAAGAAAACTATTGATAGGAGAGTAAAAAGCAAACCTCGTACCCGTTGCCATCACTTTCCAAGATATTTCCTACTACCCTTTTTAGACAATGTCAGTCCGGATGCTCAGGTCAATCATAACAATTTCAGCTCAATACGGATTTGAACCCAATACGTCCAGAGGGGCATGCAAGCGCCAATGTTCTACCATAGTCTCATGGCATCCAGTAAAGGGCTAAAGTCAAACTACTCGCATGGCAAGGGTTGTCAGAACACGAAAAGGTACATGCTGTTAGTGATCGCAGGTCGTGGAACGACGTGATCGCCCGTGCTAGTCGGCAAGGCATTTGATAATCATGACGATATCAGAGGGCCCGAAGACAACTTACCGCAAACATCATAAGGAGACATTGGTTATTTTTTTACCATGTTCTTAGAAAAGGAAATTATATAGCATGTGGTCACTTGAAAGATGTGTGGAAACAGACACAGGATAAAACAACGCGAGAAGATTAAAGATTATTCACAGCCTTTTGTCCTCGCTTCTTTCAAAACATCTAAGGTACTTGGTTTTCAACGAAGTAGAAGTATTGTGCAACTTCTGATATATAGACCACACACACACAAATAACACGACAGGTGTACACTCACGATGAAGTTGGGACCCATGGAGACTCGCTGACAGTTTTCAATCTCCTGCATACACAGATTGGTGGTCATGTGATCATCCGTCGCCTCGTCTCGAACTCCCCATCGCATGTCCACAACCTGGGATAAACAACAGCAGTCTTATACATGGCGCCAGTTTAATACGTCTACAGTCCCTGTGGAGACTACTTGAATTAAAGAGCAATACACCAACAGAAACAGAACTTCACGGTTGCATACCTGATTTAAATTAGGCGTGCAAAAAAAAAAAAAACATAACATGAACATTAACGCCCAAAAAAAAAAAAAAATAAACAGAGGTCAAGACCATAACGAAAACAGACAAAACAACAAATATCCAGTTTACATGGCACCTTCTGAAACAAACCAAGAATTTCAAAATACTTAAAAAGCATACTGTCACCAGTTGGCAAATCAGAAGAAAAGATCGATGACAGATGTAACAAAGCAAACAAACTCATTTGGCAAATGGTACCGATAGTGAGAAATGAACATATGTCAGCAGATACCAAAAGAGCACTCTGTAAGCCGATCTTCTTGCCAACCCTGTGCTATCAATGCCCAACCCTGTGCTATCAATGCCCAACCCTGTGCTATCAATGCCCAACCCGGTGCTAACAATGCCCAACCCTGTGCTATCAATGCCCAACCTGTGCTATCAATGCCCAACCCGGTGCTATCAATGCCCAACCTATGCTATCAATGCCCAACATGTGCTATCAATGCCCAACCCTGTGTTATCAATGCCCAACCCTGTGTTATCAATGTCCAACCCTGTGCTATCAATGCCCAACCCTGTGCTATCAATGCCTAACCCTGTGCTATCAATGCCCAACCTATGCTATCAATGCCCAACCCTGTGCTATCAATGCCTAACCCTGTGCTATCAATGCCCAACCCGGTGCTATCAATGCCCAACCTATGCTATCAATGCCCAACATGTGCTATCAATGCCCAACCCTGTGTTATCAATGCCCAACCCTGTGTTATCAATGTCCAACCCTGTGCTATCAATGCCCAACCCTGTGCTATCAATGCCTAACCCTGTGCTATCAATGCCCAACCCGGTGCTATCAATGCCCAACCTATGCTATCAATGCCCAACATGTGCTATCAATGCCCAACCCTGTGTTATCAATGTCCAACCCTGTGCTATCAATGCCCAACCCTGTGCTATCAATGCCTAACCCTGTGCTATCAATGCCCAACCTGTACAAGGGCAGGGGGAAAAGAAAAGAATAATTACGACATTTGAAATGAGATTCCTGAGAAGGGCTCTTAATATCACATAGAGAGAGAAGACGATAAAAGATTAAACCAGAAGGAAAATAGGGTTAGTGGCAGCTCTGGATTTCATTAGAAAACAAGTGAAATGGTCTGGCCCTAAAACACGAATGAACACTTTAAAAAAAAATAATAATAATAATAATTTACAGACAATGCGGAAAGCGGAAAAGAGGCAGAGCATGCAAACAACGGACAGAGAAAAAAACAGAGTTACTGGGAAATCTTTATTTACGTAGTGTATGAACTAGAACTGAAAATAATCAAACTATTGGAAAAGTTAAACATTGATGGAAAAGATTTACGAATGATAAAGAACATTTACTGGCAGCACACAGCAGCTGTAAGAGTTAATAAACAGTTGTGAACATATCAGAGATAAGAGTAGGACAGGGATGCGTACTATTACCTGATTTGTTTGCCTTATACAGTGAATATATAATCAGATCTATCATGGATATGCCAGGAATTGCGGTTGGTGGGCATATCATAAACAACCTACCTTATGCTGATGACACCGTCTTGAAAGCTACACGTCAAAAGCAGGAATTGATAGATTTGGTGGTGGTAGAAAGTGATAAGATGGGCCTCGGTTTGAACAATGGAAAGACAGAAGTAATAGTGATTTCCAAGAAAAGAATAGCGCCTTAATGAATAATAAAAGTCAAAGGCGTTATTTTATAACAAGTACATAAATTTAGGTATCTACGCACAAGGATAACATCCGATGGAAGATGTAGCACAGAAATAAAGAATACAATAGCATAGGCCAAAACTGCATTTTACATAATGAAGAACATTTTGTGCAATAAGTCCGTGTCATTGGAGTTTATAAAAAGAATTCTCGCAAGCTATATAGAGCCAGTGTTAACATAAAACAATCAAGCCAGGATAATTAACAAACAAGTCGAACAATATCCTGATGCCGCGGAGATGGGATTTTGCAGAAGAATCCTTAGAATTGCTTGGACAGCTAAGAAGAGCAACCCAGATGTGTTAAATGAGGCGAATGCTCAAAGACAACTTTATCACAAACATCAGAAAGAGAAAGTTATCATTTTTCGGTCATGTTATGAGCAGAGGGAAAATGGAACATGTTGTTACCAATGGAAAGATCTGTGGGAAAAGAGATAGAGGAAGACAGCGCGAAAAGATCATTCTTTTGTCATGGCATGGAGGGGTGTCAACACACAAACTGATACAAGCAGTTGCAGAGTGTGAAGAGGCAAGGCACCTGATTATGAAACTAGAACTATGCCGCACATTATACTATACATCGAAGGTACAGAAGTATCAATATGAGACGAGACGGGAGTCGCCTGGCGGAGCGGCTAGACGTGCGCCGCGGATCGGAAGGTCGTGGGTTCGCTCCCTGGCGGAGTCGGACTTTTCCTCAAAAATGACCGTGGCTCCCAGGTCGACCGAGCCTTGAGTGGGTACGGGGCGCAGTCCCAGAAAGTAAAGACGGCCGGCGTGATGCTGACCACATTACCCATCTTGTGCCGTTGGTCTATAAAATATAGGTCTAGCCCTATATTCCCTAAACACATAAAGGCGTGGAAAAGGGTCCTTTACTTTACTTACTTATGAGACGACACACAAACAAGAGCAGTAAAACTATGATAACTTGCCATAAAAAAAAAAATCCGTTATACTGTTAAAATGCGAAGAAGCAACTTATTAAGAAGTACATCGGTAAGTATTCATTACCACTTGTTTAAGTCCTAAGCATAAATGTAGAAGTTAGATCAGCTTTAAATAAATAACGCAGGCATATTTTAAACGTAACTGTATTTCTAAAACTTACGCAGACAACAATGTTCCAGTCTGAAGAATTTACTTTTAATAAGTACAGCAAGACCTAGTTAAACACTCGGTTAGCTTGACAAATTTGTGATCCCAGAGGGCTGTATAAAATTACATGTATTATCAGTGTCAGGTTAAACGATTTGTAATCTATGCCGTGGGACGTTGGTAATAATATCTGCCCCCAGAATTTAGTCTTATGCAGAGTGGACACGACTTGGGGATATAAAGAGTGGACACGTCCTAGTGATATAGAGAGTGGACACGTTCTGGTGATATAGAGAGTGGAAACGTCCGCGTGATATAGAGAGTGAACACGTTCTGGTGATATAGAGAGTGAACACGTTCTAGTGATATAGAGAGTGGACACGTTCTGGTGATATAGAGAGTGGACACGTTCTGGTGATATAGAGAGTGGACACGTTCTGGTGATATAGAGAGTGGACACGTTCTGGTGATATAGAGAGTGGACACGTTCTGGTGATATAGAGAGTGGACACGTTCTGGTGATATAGAGAGTGGACACGTTCTGGTGATATAGAGAGTGGACACGTTCTGGTGGTATAGAGAGTGAACACGTTCTGGTGATGTTGAGAGTAGACACGTCCTGGTGATATAGAGAGTGAACACGTTCTGGTAATATAGAGAGTGGACACGTCCTAGTGATATAGAGAGTGGACACGTTCTGGTGATATAGAGAGTGGACACGTTCTGGTGATATAGAGAGTGGACACGTTCTGGTGATATTGAGAGTGGACACGTCCTGGTGATATAGAGAGTGGACACGTTCTGGTGATATAGAGAGTGGACACGTTCTGGTGATATAGAGAGTGGACACGTTCTGGTGATATAGAGAGTGGACACGTTCTGGTGATATAGAGAGTGGACACGTCCTAGTGATATAGAGAGTGAACACGTTCTGGTGATGGTGATATAGAGAGTGGACACGTTCTGGTGATATAGAGAGTGAACACGTTCTGGTGATATAGAGAGTGAACACGTTCTGGTGATATAGAGAGTGAACACGTTCTGGTGATATAGAGAGTGAACACGTTCTGGTGATATAGAGAGTGAACACGTTCTGGTGATATAGAGAGTGAATTGAGAGTGAACACGTTCTAGAGAGTGATATAGAGAGTGGACACAGTTTCTGGTGATATAGAGAGTGAACACGTTCTGGGGTGAGAGTGGACAGAGAGATGAAGTGGACACGTCCTGGTGATATAGAGAGTGAACACGTTCTGGTGATATAGAGAGTGAACACGTTCTGGTGATATAGAGAGTGGACACGTTCTGGTGATATAGAGAGTGAACACGTTCTGGTGATATAGAGAGTGGACACGTTCTGGTGATACAGAGAGTGGACACGTCCTGGTGATATAGACAGTGAACACGTTCTGATGATACAGAGAGTGGACACGTTCTGGTGATATAGAGAGTGGACACGTTCTGGTGATATAGAGAGTGAACACGTTCTGGTGATATAGAGAGTGGACACGTTCTGGTGATATAGAGAGTGGACACGTCCTGGTGATATAGAGAGTGGAAACGTTCTGGTGATATAGAGAGTGGACACGTTCTGGTGATTATAGAGAGTGGACACGTCCTGGTGATATAGAGAGTGGACACGTCCTGGTGATATAGAGAGTGGAAACGTTCTGGTGATATAGAGAGTGGACACGTTCTGGTTATGTAGAGTGGACACGTTCTGGTGATGTAGAGAGTGGACACGTTCTGGTGATGTAGAGTGGACACGTTCTGGTGATGTAGAGTGGACACGTTCTCGTGATATAGAGAGTGAACACGTTCTGGTGATATTGAGAGTGGACACGTCCTGGTGATATAGAGAGTGGACACGTCCTGGTGATATGGAGAGTGGACACGTCCTGGGGATATAAAGAGTGGACACGTCCTAGTTATATAGAGTGTGGACACGTTCTGGTGATATTGAGAGTGGAAACGTCCGGGTGATACAGAGAGTGGACACGTTCTGGTGATGTTGAGAGTGA